TGAACCTTTAGAAATGGAAACTGGAAATAATGAGCAGGGAATCATATTTTTAAAATGTCCACCTACAATGTTAAAGCTTCATGCCTTGTATAAAGGTTGCCACAAATGCCCCTGTAGAATTCTGTTTCTGGATTATTTTTTTTAGTATAAAAGCTACTGACAAAAGAAATCAAGCATTAGCATAAAACAACTCTCTTGTTAACAATGTAGAGAAGGGCAGAAGGATTCTGTAAATGTTTCTTTTTGGTATCTGGAAATACTGAGTCCAGTTTTAAGTTGAATAGTAGGAAGTTTGAGCCATGTTCAGCATCACCTCCAGAGCTGCATTTTTACCTGTTTAAGTCCTACCTGACAGGTTTTGAAGAGCAAGCTTTGACAATATTTGGAAATTCATTTGAACTTTTAATTTTGCAGTGTCATCATTTGGAAATTTTTGCATTTATTTAGAGAGAAAATGTGCAGTAAAACTGGCAGGGGAGGGGACTTTTGCTTTAACTCAGGTTAGAAAACCAAAGTGGAAGCAGCTGTGGGCAGTGCAGGACAGCAGTGCAGAGAAGCAGGCTGCTTGCTTCTAACTAAAGTTTTTCCCAGGAGTCCTTTTGATCCTCTAATAATTTGTATTTATATGATTTGCATGTTTATACGTCTCTTTTGATTCACTTCCAAGCAGCTAATTAATTTTCCTGGTGTTTTTTCTGTAGAAACCATAGCTTTGAGCATGCAGTTTCTCAGTGGGGGAGGCAGATTTAGCTACTGAGAAATAGGATGTGGGGTTCAGTGCCCAGGAGGTGAAGGCAAAGGGTGGGTGCTTCAGGAATGTGAGCTGTGCTGGATATTCTCTGCACCAAAATGTGCCTTTTTTAAAGAACATACTGGCTGATCACCTTTGATGACAAAGCAGTTTTTCCCACCACTTCAGCTTTTCAAAAAGAGCCTTTGCTGCATCCTGCTCTTGAACCCTTTAACCTTCCAAAGGTGTCAGAGGGGGTTGTTAACACGGGTCAGTTCCTCATTCAGTGAGTGACCTAAATTGGTGACCAACAAACACTGGCAGTACTTGATTCCTGATGTGCAGTTGAGTAATTCTCTGTTCATCTGTTTATTGGAGTGGGAAAAGAATCCCTAATTGACCTTTTTGAAAGTTAGGATTGTTTCCCTCTTTGGTACAGTGGGTAGAATTAGTGGTTTAACTCTTGGGGAGTGGGAGCCTCTTGTGACTTGATTTGTAGCATTGCAGAACTTCTGTGTAAACCAAGGCTGATTTGTCAGACACAGCTGCAGGGGAGATGTATTTTGTGTCCCAGGATGGCAGAGTGGCTGAGGAATAAGTACCTGTGTTCTTTCTTTTCTTGTTTTTGTAAGATATAACAGGTACAAATGGAACAACAGAGCTGCTTCACACTGAGCACATCTGGTACCCCAGAATACGAGAGGTAATGTAGGAGTAGCCTTTAGCTCTTGATCTGTCCAACTCCAGTTAAGTGTCTCACCTAACCATGTGTGTGTGTTCTTGTCTTTAAGTTGGTAATTTCCTCTTTCACTGCGACTTTCATTTAAATATGTCCCTTTACTCATTTCATGGAAGTCTTCATCTTTCCAACTCGTTCATTGCTGGACAGCAAACACAAGGAGTTAGTTACCACGTTCCAAAAGACGTGCAGTTATCTGCACAAGTGAGACAAACACTCATCTTGTGACACTGTGATTTGTGCTCACTGGCAGCAGTTCAGCTGGTACCAGACCACTTGCCTGCTGTCCCTCTGTCCAGCAGGCTGCCCCGTGGAAGGTGAAACTGCAGCTAGAAAATCTGGTTCATCCCCATTCTGATCAGACTCATAATTCTCTCCAGAGACTTGGTGAAATAGATCAAGCTCCTTCTCCACTCTTAGCACTGCAGTCTGAACTTTGTCCTGCCCCTCAGAGCCCAGGATGAGGGTTATGCCCCAGCCTCACTCAGTGCTAGACAGAGTAGTCCAAATTAAGGCGTGTGTCATGGAATTTATCTCCCATCCCGTCGCTTTGGGCTGCAAACTTTTTCTTAATTAAAAACAACCCCTCTCTCTTCCCCATGTTCAAACCATAGCTACATCCTGCCAAGAGCCCTGCAGCCAAGAGGGCTGACAGTCTCCTGAGACCACAACGCTGCTCTATACCAGCTTCTAAGGAGCACTTGTGAACAGTGCAGCACACACTGCCCCTAGGAGCTAGGAGCATCACCTCCGTGGCGCCCGCAGCCCTTGCCGGTTCGATCTGAGAGCTTAAAGGTTAGCCTGGAACCCAGGTCTCCTGTCTGACAGTGTGATGTGCTATCCACACAACTACCAGACTGGCCCACTGGTCTGTTGTGTAATAGTTTTGTGGAGAAAAAGCATAAGTGTTATGCTTAAGCAATAAGTCACTTAAACATAATGAGCCGTTTTATGACGAAAAATGTTCTGAGTTCTTCTGTGTCACTGAATTCTTTTAACTGCAGTTTGTAATCCGGCGCAGAAAAAGAACTGGTTTGGGTTTGCTTGAAAGATTTGACTGAACTGCCTCTTTCCCCTTCTTGTGTGTTCAGATCCAAGGTGCTATCATCATGTCCTCCCTGATTGAAGTGGTGATTGGTTTGCTTGGCCTTCCTGGCGCCCTGTTGCGATACATCGGCCCTCTGACCATCACCCCCACCGTTGCTCTCATCGGCCTCTCTGGTTTCCAGGCTGCTGGAGAAAGAGCAGGCAAACACTGGGGTATCGCCATGTTGTAAGTACTCCTGGGTTGTCTTGGCTTAGGCCAGGGGGTCCCTGTTGGTAAGTGGTCATGGCAGAAGTTTGGGAGTGCCAGGGAAAAGCCAGAGCCTGCTTGGCTGGCAAAGGCAGCGCTGCAGTGCTCCCAGCACGGAGAAATACCCCGTGCAGGAATGTGAGGGGGTCTGGATAGGGTCAGCTGGGAATTTGGGAAGAAGGACAGCAGCAACTTGAGGAGGAAGGAAAGGTCATCAGCTGAAAGTGAGGTGTGGAGAAGGGAGGTTTTTATACACCAGTAGTTGGTCTGGAAGCCAGTTTAGTGCCATGGAAAAGATAACTTGGCAGAACACTAGAGAGATTAGTGAACACGTTGTATTTGTGCTTTTATGGTGCTGTTGTGGATGTTTCTTACTCAGCAAATGCCATTGGTAGCAGTAGTCCACTTGTCACTACTGCTGGTTTGCTTACCTGTAGACAAGAGAAATATGTATGACAGGAGAGAGCACATGTATTTCCAGGAATGCCCTGAGTCCATGAGGAATGAGGAGGCAGATTTCAGGAAGCTGAAAGGCTTTTAGAGTGAACTTCAGGGCATGGTATGTGGAATTCTATAGGTGTAGATTAAATTGAGATTGTTGGTTTGAAAGGCAATTGCTGAGAAAAACAAGGTGAAGAGAATACAGAAGCTTCCAGTGAGGTGCTCTGGATAAGCAACCAAGTAAGGCTGCAAACCACATTTTAAGGAGAAGGAAAGTGGCCAGAGCAGTTCCTATATTCAGTGTATAGTGATCAGCTTTGTGCTGGCTCTGGAAGCAGGAGGAATGACTTGATGAGATCAGATTCTAATCTGACTGATCTGCTTGCACAGTACTTCCAACATGTAAAGTATTCCATAAGTGCAGCTTATGATGAAAAGGGCTGTTTAATTCTCTTTTATCTCAGATGTTAGCATCATGAATATTTTTGTAATTCTATTATGTTGAGCAGCTGACCCAAAGGAATGTTTTGTTTTTCTGTAAAACAAATTATATGCAAGTTGGAACTAAGATTAAATCAGTCAAGCAGACCTAGGGTGAATTGGACATGGAAACATGTAATTAAAATTGACATGTTGCAGATGGAAAAAAACAATCAATTTAGGAACAAGATTTAAATATTATCCAGTCAACAAGTATTTCTGGCTTCTGCCATGCAAAGATGTGCACTGGGTTGTTGAAAATAACTCTAGAGCCACTGAGAAGTTACTTGAACTCTACAAGATGTGGCACTTGAAATTGTCTTGACTCGTCTGATGAGGAAGAAATCCTGGATTGCTATCAGAGTAATGCCTGTGTAAGAGCTGGTTTCATCTTCTATGAACTGCAGATGCTGTTTGACAAGATTTTCAGTTTCCCAAACAGTTTTCTGACCATGCTTGTTCTGTGGGTGCCAAGCTGAAATAATTTAATCCCTAAACCACATGGCATCATGATCTGTAAAAAGGGAAATTGTTCCTGAATTGGCCTTTGCTTGTTTATCTGGTGAACAAAACTCTTCTTTTGGGCATTTAGATATTTGGTAATATTTTATGGAATGGCAGTGAAACCCCCTGCCCTGTAACCAATATAATATTATTTAGAATAATAACATATTAATACATTATTCACAACCCTGTACTAAATCATGGAATGGTTTGGGTTGGAAGGGTAAAGACCATGTAGATCCAACCCCTGCATGGGCAGGGACACCTCCCACCAGCCCAGGCTGCTCCGAGCCCCATCCAACCTGCCCTTCAACACCTCCAGGGATGGGGCAGCCACAGCTTCCCTGGGCAACCTGAGCCAGGCTCTCACCACCCTCACGAGGAAGGGAATTTGCTCCTCATGTCCAACCTCAATCTCCCTCTTCCAGTCTTCATCCATCCCCCTCATCCCATCCCTCCCTGCCCTTGTCCCAAGTCCCTCCCCAGCTTTCCTGGAGCCCCTTCAGGCTCTGGTAGCTGCTCTAAGGTCTCCCTGGAGCCTTCTCTTCTCCAGGCTGAACATGCCAGCTCTCCCAGCCTGACTTCATAGGAGAGCTGCTCCAGCCCTTGGCTCATTTTCATGGCCTCCTCTGGACTTTATCCAGGAGAAATGAAAAGGAAAAGTCACCTGTCCCCAGAGCTGGCGTGACAGGATGGCCAGGATAGCTGCTGTTAGGGAGTGGAGCCCATCTTTCCATAATGGGCTTTGGGAGAGATGCCAGAATGTTTCCTGAGTGCAGGGAAAAGGTGCCTTTATCATTCTACTCTCGTGGGGGGTAAAGGCTATAAATGACACCCTTCTTGTGCAGAGCTCTTTGTTCCTGGAGATTGAGGGAGAATAAAGCTCTGTTGTTTCTTCCAGACTGAAACTGATCTTGGGCAGAAAAGGGAGGGAAGCTTAAAATCCACCCTTTTTTTTAAGTCAGCTGATAAAAACATCATCTCAGATTTCAGAAAAGCTTTGCTTCTTCAGACAGCTTGACTCTTTGTGCAGCCTTTTTATAGCTAGACTGGTTTTGGTTCTCTCAGAATTAAGCAACCTGCCTTGGCTTCTTGTTTTTCATTGCAGTGGATTCTTCATGGAGCAGTTCAGTGCAGTTTTAACGTGGTGCTCAGCAGTTCTGAGGAGGGATGAAAATGCATTAATACTTAATTAATGAGGCATCTAAAAGCTGTAATAAACTGGGTTACTGATGAACTGAAATGGAATGAAATCTTATTTTTGGGGGCTCTGTTCTGTTTGGTTTATAGCTGTTCAGTGAAAGATGTACACACACAAAAAATTAGTTTCTTAAGAACTGAAGAAAGAATTCCCTGTGACAGTTTTCAAGAGCTTGGGAGTTTAATACAAATTTTAAAAATATAAAAATGTCTGTGTCCTGGCCTCCAGTGTTCTGTTGCTTCCCATTTGCTGGCAACAAGCTTTGTGCTTCAGGTGCAGAGCAGAGCTGGACACACAAGGAGAGCTGGAGGTGATGAGAAGTGAGTGGCTCAGCATAGCTCTTTGCTGAGGGGCTGCTTAGCTCTGAAGATCTTTCTCCAGTCTGGTTCATTTTCCTGGATTCATTTTCCTTCCCTGCTGCTGGCTATTGCTGCAGCACTTCAGAATATGTATTAGGATGTTTTGGCTTTCCTGGAATAATATTTTATTTAAAAAGTATTCTCATGTGAGGCTTTGTCTTGGGCTAACTTTAAAGTGTACGTTTATATTTTGTGTCTGAAGAGCCTGAACAGGTTTGTGCTGGGCAAGATTTTTAACCTAATGGTGCTAACGATATGTCTCTCTTATCCCACCCCCTTCTCCTTTTTTCTCAGGACTATTTTCCTAGTATTATTGTTTTCCCAGTATGCCAGGAATGTCAAATTTCCCTTACCCATTTACAAATCCAAGAAAGGATGGACAGCATACAGGCTGCAGCTTTTCAAAATGTTCCCTGTAAGTAGTTGAACCTGTTCTTCAGTTGGCAAAAAAAAAACCCAACCCAGCCCTAATTTGTGTTTGGGGTATTTATTTTTCCTTGGTTTTGATTTTTTCTAATGATACAGTAGATCACAGAGGTGACATAAAAGCTTAAATAGACTTATGGGAAACTTCAAATGGCTTATTTGCCACAGGAAATGGTTTCATATTGTAGTCTTGTCAGATCCTATTCTGATGTTGGTCTGTGATGAAGAGTCATTGGAGTGATGAAGATTGGGATGGGGAGGGAAAAGGATAGAGAAGGTACATTTGTGTAGGCAGTGAAGGCCTAAACTGAGCCCTCCAAAAAGGGGTGGTGAAATCATCATCTTGGAATTTCAAGAAAGCAATACTCCATTCCCCCCTGTGAAAGGTTTCTTTATATTCCCCTGGTAAAGTTGAGACTAATTCAGTAGTTTGTGTAAGTCCCCATTTGGAGACTTTCCTATTTGTTAGGGGAGAGAAGAAACTTGGTCTAATTCTCAAGCTTCGATAGGAGCTGGGGGGAAACACCTAATGGATCCATTGCAGGATTTACTCCTTGTTCAGTCTTAAAATATCATAGAATCATAGAATGGTTTGGGTTGGAAAGGACCTGAAAGATCATGTAGATCCAACCCCCCTGCATGGGCAGGGACATCTCCCACCAGCCCAGGCTTCTCCAAGCCCCATCCTTTGTGTCACTTAAGCTCACACTCAGATACGTGTGTAATAGTTACTCTGTACAGGAACTGTTTGCTTTTGGTGAATATTGCCAATGATAGGCTGGCTTTTTTTGATAGACAGTTATTTTCCTTCTATTCCACAGATTATTTTGGCTATTTTGGTGTCCTGGTTACTCTGTTTCATCTTCACGGTGACCGACGTCTTTCCCCCTGACAGTTCCAAGTACGGCTTCTACGCGCGCACCGACGCACGGCGAGGGGTGCTCCTCGTAGCTCCCTGGTTCAAGGTTCCTTATCCTTGTAAGTATGGCAGGTTTTGAGGGCTGCTGTTTCTAATAATATGCCTGGAAGTCTCACTTCTGTTGTTGTCACAAGCCTTGCTGGTTTTTTTCTCAGTACTATGTTCTGATGCACTTCGACATGCACTGATCTAAAGGCATCATAGGTGGAGATGATGGGTTTTTCTTCCTTTCCTCTTTAATTTGATGTCTTAAGGGCTCACCCAAGACAGAGTTTCTGAAAGTTGATTTTGTGGAAGGCACTTGCAGTGTGCTGCTTAAAAGAGAGTTCACTGAAGGGAAAAAAAAAATCAGCTTCATCATGGCTTAAACCAGGACAAGAGTTTTTCTTGGTCACTCTTGACTGGAGCACCCACAGTCACGTAGTGAGGCTATACATAAAACTTGGGTTTTCAGGGAATGATTGAATCTATACTTGTTGATACTGTGATCTGCTGCTTTTGATGTTGTACAGTAGCAGGGATGTATTATTACAGCTCCTGTGGAGCTACTGAAACTTTGATTCTCATTGTCTAAGGAACCAGTAGTGCGGGGAGGTTTTTCCAGCTTAATTCACTTCCCTGCCCTAAACACACCTGTTCTTGACTTAGCACAACTCAGAAACTACACAAAAATGTCCTGATTTCCAGAAGCAGTGTTGGAATTAGGCTGATGGGCATGTTAGAGGATCCCAATTAGTGCTTCCCAAAGGACAAAAAAGTATTCCTAAGAATACACCAAGTGCTTTACACAGCATCTTGGGTGTTTGTATCCTTCTGCTGGCCATCTCTCAGGTTAAAGCTGCTAAGGGCTGTTTCTGATGGCATGAGGGAGAGTTACACAACCAGTTCACCCTGGTGCTGCTCAGAAATGAATGGGGTAATAATAGAATAATATTCTAGCAGAACAGAATAATAGCAATGGTTGGTAATACCACTGTCTTAATGAGGCAGCTTCGTTGTGGTTTTCCATACCATTGGGTTCTGATGAGTTCTTAAAAGAAACCACTTCTAAAGCAGTACTTGCAAGATGCAAAATAGAAGCTTTTGGGTAAGAAGAGGAGGAAAACTTCTCCGCCCTGATTAGACCTTTCTTATTTGTGAAGACTTGTTCATTCACATTTGTGTGACTTCAAGTTCCTTTTGTTGCGGGAGGCTCATCTATTTCAAAGAGATAAAAGCATTGAGACAATTGCTGGGGAAAACCTGCCAAGCTTTTCTACAGGCTTAAATTAATCTTATTTTCTCTTCTCCAGAAACTGGTAATTGGCAGGAGTTTGTGCAGTGATCATAGCTGGTTGTTGGCCGTCCCTTCAGCAGACTAAACTTGTAACTGAGGGACTGAGTTTTTGGAGCAATAATAATTAAATGGCATTCGCCTCACTGATCAGAATTGTGGTTTTTTTCCACAAGCAGTAGTTCAAATTCCTTCCTTCTGAACAGGAGGAATTTTTTTGGTGGGGTTTAGGGGGGGTTGGGGTTTTTCCCAAGCATGATCAAAGCAGCTGCTGAGGCAGTTTTTCCTCCACTCCTGTCATCTACTTGAACTTCCCAGACTTTGTTACTGGGAAGGGGGTTTGCTGATTCCATTCAAGATGAATAAACTGGGGTATGTTTTTGATACCCACATTGTTTGATGTGGCACGAGAGATTTCAGTGTTCTTTCCTTCACAGTTCAGTGGGGACTGCCAACAATTTCAGCTGCTGGAGTGATAGGAATGCTGAGTGCAGTGGTTGCTAGCATCATCGAGTCGATAGGAGACTACTATGCCTGTGCCAGGTTGTCTTGTGCTCCTCCTCCACCAATTCATGCCATAAACAGGTATGTCAAAAAAAGAAATGTATTTCAGTGTCTTAAGCTCCTTTTTCCACCCCCCTTTTTTTGTGTTTTCCCTCCCCAGGATAAGGCAGCAATGTGTATTGAGTTTAAATGTTACAATTTAGTCCAACACGAGAGCCAAGGATCTGAAATACTGGATGTAATTGTCATGGTACATTATTTTGTTGCATTGGGAACCTAGTCCTGTTCCTGCTGGAGACCATGGAAGTTAAACACACAGTTTCCATAGGGACAGGTCTCTGAACAGGGTAGCTTGTGAAATTCACCTGAAATGGCATTTTAGAAATAAAAAACAGCTCTGAGATGAACTTGAATTATTCTGTAATTTCCTCAGTTGAACGTGGGTATCTAAGACATAGAAAACAGAACTCAGGTTGGTTTTCCAGGTGTGTTGGGAGCTTGGATTGTAATAATTCCTGTGGGACAGATACCCTAGCAGGCAGTAATGCAGGCTGCAGCCTTAAAGCACCATCCAAAGTGAGTCCTGTGCTGATACAAGTTTGACTCTTTTTCTGTTGGTGATTTACAGAGGGATTTTTATTGAGGGTCTTTCCTGTGTTCTGGATGGAGTATTTGGGACAGGGAATGGATCTACTTCTTCCAGCCCCAACATTGGTGTCTTGGGCATCACAAAGGTAGGTGCTGGACCCTGATTACTCGATTACTTGTGTATTTTCTCTCTCCTGGTGGATGCCTTACACCATTGCCATGTTTCACACCATGGTCCTCTTTCAAGAAACCATGCTACTTGGTGCTTTGTGCAGACAAACTTTACACAGCATTCTGAATTTACCTCACTTTTCTTTACCAGCCATTGTCTAATGGAAATATATTCTAGATAAGGACCCCAAAAAATCTTATTTTTATTCGCAATAAAAAAGAATTGGAAAATCTACCTAATGCAGATGATGCTAAATAACCTGGAAGGGGAGCTGCAAAGTAACTTCATGAAATGTACTCTAAATATTTGTTTCCATCATGATTGGTTTTTAAGGCATTGAGCTTGCTGAGGGGGTTACATGTTTTTGAGGGTGTTACTCAGCAAAATATAGAAGCACTTGAGAAATTCCTGTGTTCACATACTGAACTGGAGTGCCTTGCTGAGCTGGGGGACCTTGGCCTGCAGCTAGATTTGCTTGGCATTGTTAATTTAACCTTGTTAAGAAATATCAGCAATGATGGGGAGAGTAATTTATGTTATAAGTAAGTACATCTTGTGGTGTGTTTTGCTTGGAAGCTATAAATCTCCTTCATGCATGCAAGATTGTGTGCTCTCCTCTTGAAATAACTTATCCCTTAGACTTAATCCAATAGAGATGATTAATTTCTCTTCAGCCATTTTTTTTATTTCTGCACAAAGGATGATTCTGTTTAGTTTTAGGCTGGAATATCAACACTAACAGCACCACCTGCTGTCTGGATAAGTCTTCATTCAGTTGCTGATGGAAATTTCCTAAAAGAAATTTTGGGGTGAAAAATCCTTAAAGAAGGCTTTATTCTGTTCTGCTGCCTTTTTGTTGTTACTTCACAGGAGTTGATATGAATTAACACCACAGAAATGGGTGTATGTTTTGCTTGGGAACAGGGAAAATGTTGAACTGGCAGCTGTTAGAGCAGAGTTAACTCCAGACAGGTCTGCTCAGAGCATGTCATGGAAGAGTGAATTCCTCTCATCCAGAATGGCATAGCTGGATGGCTGCTCTCCAGTATTTTCCCTTTTTTTCCTGTCTGCATAATCCTTCCTAAAAACCTATTAGTTTTTCAACTTCAATTTATATGAAAATAGATTTTTGGCACATAGATATTCTGCTCTTTATTTGGAAGGGGAAATCAGTAGAGCTTGTGATTTACATAGTCCTGGTGACCCTGTTACACAAGTGCAAGATTTGAAGAGGCCTTTACCTCCCTTGAAATCAGCCTGTGGTTATACTTAGAATTTAAATGTAAAGCTTTAACTGGATGCCAATACTGGAAAGTCTTTGAGCTGCTCTGGGAGTGAGATTTATTTAATGGGAGGAGAATCAAATCCATATGATTACTTGGGGAAAAAATACAGGCAGCTTCTGCCCTGATGTTAATGATGAAATTGATACTCCAGGAAGGTACCAGTTACCATAATCATATAAAACATGTAAATGAGTGCCTGGGAATAAATACTTAGTTGGAGCTAAATACTGATAGGATTCTTTTAGTAGCTTTCAAAAGGAGCTTAATTTATTTGCCTTTGCATAAATAAATGCCCTCTTTTGCAGATTTTTAAAAGAATCTGCCTATTTCATGCAGGAAGGTAATTTTAGAGCAAGAGATGGATGGTCCTAAAGAAATTAATATCTTTATAAAATGTACAGAAAGGTGCAGGCTAAATTCTGTTGCTTTTCTAGTGAACACCCTGATTTACTGGTCCAGCTGTAGGTGAACACACCTCACCTGACTTTTAAGCAGTGAAGAATATGGGGGAAAGAAGGCTTTTCACCCTAAACGTGCCTCCTACTGCATCTTTTCTCCTCATTTCATTTAGCTGAGTCACGTGTGATTTGTAAATTAATAACTGCCTCTGTTTAAGGCTTTAATGCTCTGTAACAGGAGACCTACAAAGGGCTTTGCTAGAAACCTTGCTTAAAAGGTTTTTTATTGTCCCTGATGCATCTCTTATGCAAGTGCAACACTCTTATCAACTATTATTGGAATGATAACACTAAATTATCCATTATTCAGGTTTATCAACTACTGCCCCAAAGTTTGAATGCTTAAAATAAAAATAGGAAGGAAGTGCAAGCATTTGGTTTTGGTGTTAGCACAGCCATGATTTGCATGTCAAGTGACTTCAATTCTGATCTCAGAGGGATGTTATAAAATCAGTTGATAATCTCTGTCTAGAAAGAATCGTAAGATCATGGGATGGTTTGGGTTGGAAGGACCTGAAAGATCATCCATATCATCCCCTGCATGAGCAGGGACACCTCCCACCAGCCCAGGCTGCTCCAAGCCCCATCCAACCTGCCCTTCAACACCCCCAGGGATGGGGCAGCCACAGCTTCCCCGGGCAACCTGGGCCAGGCTCTCACCAAAAAACCAGCTTGCACCTCCTTCAGGTGAACTGCTTGGTAGGTGACTAATAGATTCATTCTTGTGTAAAAGGGCAGAAACACATGGATTTGCTTGTTTTTCTGTTTGCATTGCAATTGGTCTGTTTCCCAGCCCTCCTAGTTAATGCCTGTTTGTTTTCCTTATTGGAGATGGGACCCTTATGGGACCCCACATCTCATGATAGTGGCTAGAGCAGCTACAGATGCTTTTAAAGGTGACTTAATGTTAACAAAACCAAAATCAAGTGCAGTTAGAACTGGAGTGCAGCCATGTTACAGCTGAACCCTCCAAGGCACTGCTTCTGCAGCCTGTTTTAACACCACCCAAAAATACAGAAGCTGGAAAAACAAGTTTAAAATGCAAAAAAACCCCAAAACATAAAATAAAAGGCAAGGTGTGGAGCTGTACTGAGTGCAGACTTTTTGCAGTGTCCTTTCCTTTGTTTTTTTGTTCCCCTGCAGGTTGGAAGTCGCAGAGTCATTCAATATGGGGCAGCCTTCATGCTCCTGCTGGGGATGGTGGGCAAGTTCAGTGCTCTCTTTGCCTCTCTGCCAGACCCCGTGCTTGGTGCCCTCTTCTGCACCCTCTTTGGTAACGTATGGGTTTTGCTCTTCCCTGTGGCTCCCTCTCCTCACTCTAGATCTGTGTTTACATCTGTGTTGCTACCTATTTCCTGTGGACAATACAAAAGCTGAGGCTTGGTTTGTTTTTCTTCAGGGATGATTACAGCTGTGGGTCTGTCTAACCTCCAGTTCATAGATCTGAATTCTTCAAGGAACCTGTTTGTACTTGGATTTTCCATTTTCTTTGGACTTGTCCTCCCCAGCTATCTCAAACAGAATCCACTGGTCACAGGTAGGTGGTTCTGCTAATTTCCATGGAGCACACTTTCTGCCTTGTTCTCACATGCAAAGTACGTACAAGTGCAAAGTAATTCAGGTTGGACTATGAGGAAAAAGTTATTTCCTGTAAGGCTGGTGAGGTGCTGAAACAGGTTGCCCAGGGAGGTTTTGGATACCCCCTCCCTGGAGGTCTTCAAGGCAAGTTGGATGGGGCTCTGTGCAACCTGGTCAGGTGGGAGGTGTCCCTGCCCATGCAGGGGGTTGGATCTGGATGATCTTTAAGGTCCCTTCCAACCCAAACCATTCTATGATTCTAATGTAGGGGATAGGAGGAAAAAACCAAAGCATTATGGAGACAATGAAAGCAGAAGGCAGGTGTGTTCAGGGCAGAACTGAGATGGTGAGACCTGATTTGCATTTTCAGTGGGATGCATCTGGCCTTTCTCTGGCTATGATTGTAGAGCAATGGAAGGAGGTGATTGCCATGTGGACTGGAGGAAAGATTAGAAAGGTGAATCTGCATTGCACATGATGTTAAAAGAGAAGGGAAAGTACCGAGGTAGAGCTTGAAAGCTAGGAGTTTGTTGGGGGGGGGGGAGTTGGAATTTTTGTCACTGCAGATTTGTGTTCTGAATCTGAATTGTAATGAACTCATAGAAGCATAGAATGGTGAAGGTTGGAAGGGACCTTAAAGATCATCAGGTTCTTACCTCCCTGCTATGAGCAGGGACACCTCCCACCAGACCAGGCTGCACAAACCTCATCCAACCTGGCCTTGAGACATCCAGGCATGGAGCAGCCACAGCTTCCTTGGGAAACCTGTTCCAGCACCTTAGTAACCTCATGGTGAAGCATTTCTTCTTGATGTCTAACCTGAATCTCCCCTTTTTCAGTTTAAAACCATTACCCCTTGTCCTATCCCTGACCTCTCTGATGAAAAGCCCCTCCCCAGCTTTCCTGGAGCCCCTTCAGGCACTGGCAGGTGCTCTAAGGTCTCCCTGGAGCCTTCTCTTCTCCAGACTGAACACCCCAACTCTCCCAACTTTAGCCAAATTATAGTTTTGGTGAATTGCTGGAGAAGGTTTTCTCTTTTAATACTGTCTTCTCAGTATTGGTCATGGCAGTGTATGTCATGACAGGAAGACTCTCTACTTGAATTCTTCACTTGTTGGGTTTTGCTTTGGTTTATTTTTAAAAAGAAAGAGTAACTTTTCATAGTTACAACTTCATAACCAGATTTCAGAGCATATCTAACCTAGTTTAAGTTGTTCAGAAGGAAGAGATAATTCAAGCACACATTAATACACATTAATACAATGTTCTTTCATGACTTGGTGCTATGAAGTCCTGCCCTTTTACAAAGTAAAGGTTTAAAAAGGAAATTATTTCAGTCCATGTGATTTTATGTTATGAACATGTCTCCTTTTCCACTTCGTAGTTTTCTGTTTAAATTAAGCAGCTGTGGCTGCAGTAGGAACTGAAGTGACATTTCATTACATGTTTATAAGCAACTGAAAGTTCAGGGCATTATGTTTTGGGAAAGAAGGAGTCCCCATGGTGGACTGCATTAGTTGGAAGTTCTTCTGCATCTATTCCCATGTGATTTTAAGAGTCTGGTTTGAGCAGATTCCTCAGGAGCAGGTTTTCCCAGGTGACCTGCATTTAAATCAGTAAATTGTATGGACTGTAGCACTGTCTGTCTGATAAATATTCAAATCACAACTGTGTTTTTCCTGTTCTTGCAGGCATAGCAGGCATCGACCAAGTGCTGAATGTCCTTCTCACTACAGCCATGTTTGTGGGGGGCTGCGTGGCCTTTATCTTGGATAACACCATTCCAGGTCAGCATGGGGGGGTCTCATTTGATCTGAAACATTAATTGCCCTTCTGAATGAACAAGTCCAGCATTTCATGGAGGCAGGAGATGAGGAAGAGATTACTGCTCTTCTGGTTGACCTCTCTGATACCTGCATGCCTTGAGGAACACTTGAATCTCTCTCAGTTTAAGGTCTCCATATCCATATCTTCATATGAAACATATGAAATAGGTGATAAAAGTAAAACCAGAATAGTCTTCTTCAGAAGACAGAATGGGAATATTTCAAGCTCTAAACCTGCTCCCATTTATGTGAGAGCCAAAACTTGCCTTGACGTCAGTTAGAAAAGAAACAGATAATAGTCATATCCAATAAACATTTTTCCCTCTTTGAGGAATCCAGAAGATCTTCCCAGAGCTTTGCTGAACTTGGTGTCTGAAACTTGGGTTGTCTTTCTTCTCTTAGCCAATACTATATGTGCGTGTTAACATAAATCATAGAATGGTTTGAGTTGGAAGGGACCTTAAAAATCAACCCTCCTGCATGGGCAGGGACACCTCCCAGCAGCCCAGGCTGCTCCAAGCCCCATCCAACCTGCCCTTCAACACCCCCAGGGATGGGGCAGCCACAGCTTCCCTGGGCAACCTGGGCCAGGCTCCCACCACCCTCACAACAAAGAATTCCCTCCTCATCTCCAACTCCATCTCCCTCTCACAGTTTCAATCCATCCCACTCATCCCATCCCTCCCTGCCCTTGTCCCAAGTCCCTCCCCAGCTTTCCTGGAGCCCCTTCAGGCACTGAAAAGATCTGATAAAGATATTAATATATTGTTTTAATTCCCTTTTTTAAAAATTTGATTTCTAGGAAGCCCTGAAGAAAGGGGAATACGGAAGTGGAAGAAAGGGGTTGGTAAAGGAAGCAAGTCACTGGATGGCATGGAAACATATGATTTGCCTTTTGGCATGAACATTATTAAAAAATACAGGTGCTTCAGCTTCCTGCCCATCAGCCCCACCTTTGTGGGCTACACATGGAAAGGCTTCAGGAAAAGCAGTAACTGCAGGAGTTCAGATGAAGACTCAGAAGCTACAGTATAGCCTTAGGTGAAATTATATTCTCTAGTTGTAGTAAAAGATGTATTTGCAGTTTCTTGCTGATTTAAGAAGCATTAAAATATATGTTTTGTATATCTGCATTTAAATTCTGGAACCAGAGCTGAGACAGATTTTGAAAAAAAAGAAGAAAAAAAAAGTAAAGAAAAAAGCTTTTCTGTTTGTAGGTGGTGGGACCAGATCTGGTGTCTCTGGGTCAAACCTGCACATCTTCCTCTGGGGGGCGTTCAGAGGCTCTCTAGATAGCTGCACATCCAAGGCTGGTTCTTTGAAACGGTGCCTAGGGTCTGGAAGGATGTAGGTGCTGCTGAAAAGTGTTGGGGTTTTTTTAGGGTGGTTTTATTGAAGTCATTCATGCTGGAGTTTTTGGCATGTTCAATGCTGGTCACACCCAAAAATTTGAGTCCTGTGAGAAGGAGGGGAGGGAAAAACCCCTCAAAAATGTATTTTTAATTGTCTCAGATGCCCTATGTATTGTTTTCTACTCCTGATTTGTTCATTCCATATTTTCAGGCCCCTGGAAATCAGGTTTGCTTGATCCTGGCAAATAATTAGTGTGGTTTTTTTAAATTACCAATTGCTCAGTCCAGGATTCAGACAAGGAGTTTCTGTAATAAAGGTGCTGACAGAAGCTGTGACTGACCTCTGGTAGCTCAGTCCTGCAGAAGGAACCACTCGTTTCATGTCAGCTCATGTTTTTAAAGATTTGCTTTTGTGGCCACCTCTTTTCCTGGTGCCCAGGTTGTTTTTAGAAGGATTCACACCTGGCTGGACTTTGGGAAGACGGGAAACTTGTAACTTGTAGATGGGACCAGTAGGAGTTTTTACAGTGCAGTGTGTGTATCCAGCAAGATGTTTTTTTAACAAAAATGCTGATTTGTTGAGCAATTCTAAACAGTTAACATCTGTATCCATGCCAGATGCTGCCAGCATTCCCTGCTTTGGATCTGGGCAGGATTTTCTTGGTGGGATATCCAGGGCAGAGGCTGCTTCCGAGCGGCTTCCGTTGCGTTGCTTCTTTTTCCCCCTCTCTTGGAGGGGCTTCTTCAAAAGTTTCTTCCTGTTGGGGCACAGGTTTGAGGAGCAGAGACACCACATTTGATGTCCTCATCCCCTGGGAGGTTTAACGGGTACTGGTTCCAATCAGGGCACCTTTCAGATCGATCTTTTTTTTTTTCTTCTGGGAATTGTCTCAGCTCTGATGTTACGTGGGTGTTCATAAGCTCATCATGCATTCATAATTAAAACTTTTATTCATGTTTAATGTTCTTACTATTGCAAGTTAGTTTTAGACTTCAGTGTGGCCCCAAAAGCATCTTTCAAGCTGTGGAGATCATCAGGGAAATGTAACGTCATTTCAAGGCCAGTATGCTCTACGGTGCTTGCATTCTGTATTCCTGGAAAAAGCCTAATGGTGGATCCTGTTGTTCCCTAGTATATTTATCCAAGTTTGACTACTGGGTGGGAATGCAGGAACTCTCTTGTTTTCTGAGTCGACTTCCAGGGGGAATTTGTTCTTGGTTATTGAAGCATGGAAGGGTTGGGGTGGGGAGGGCATGGAAAGAGCATAACGGATCAGTACTGAGTAGTGTAGAGTTGGAATGATTCCATTGGTCACGTTCTCAGCATGCCATGGCTGTTCCCAGAAACTATTTTATACTGCTTTTTCCATAACAAAGCATGATGTTTGTTCCTGCTTCAGGGAACTTTCAGTAGTTTGCAGTCTTGGTGTCAATTGGACTATCTCGAAAGCTGGTGGGAAGAGTTACTGTGTAGTAAACAAGGTTAGTTTGCCTGTGAAACAAAGTCATTTTTATCCTTTTTAGATTTTTTTCCTTTTCAGGTAGTGAGGTGGTAGTGTGATGTCCACATCCACTTGCAGCTGGTTTTGAGTGCAGAGACCTCTAATCAGTGGCACGAAGCTTCTCCATTTCCCAACTTGACGTGCAACCAAAGATGTGAGGGGGACTTGTGGGAGTTAAAAACAGAAATATATATATACATGTATATATAAGATGGGGAAAAAAAATAAATTACCTCTGTATGGTGGCTGTAATGTTGTAAAATGCCAAAGTTGGTTTCTTGTAACTGTTGAGAAAGGGAGGCAAAAGTGTTTTATTTAACCAGTGCCACCTCAGAGATGTTGAAACATCAGAGATGTTGAATCAGGCCCGGTGGTGCCGCTGGGCATGGAGTGCAGCAGTGACACCTTGACTCTAGACTTTTCCAACCTGTCCCCCCCAAATATTTTGATAACTTCAGTACTTGCACAGTCAAGAGATGAGGTGATGACAAACAGCATTTGTCCCCTCTCCCCTTTGGCTGAGGAGCAAAGCCATTCTCTGTGGTGCCTTCACTGGAGAACTGCCGAGATGGTTCGTGACACTTGAGTTACAAGGCAACGACTGCAAGGATCATTTTTTTCTTCTCCCCAGAGCAGAGCACCACCCCTTTCTTGCAGCATAGGAGAAACTATCCAAACAGGTGAAGTCTGATGACTCTGTTTAACTGTTGGATTTAATTCTTTTTATGGCTTTGGGTCCTGCTGTGCCAATTCTGTTGACTGGCTGAGAGAAGTACAGTAGCGTTTAGCCAGCGTGTCTGCTTTTCTAGCCACTTGGTGACACTAAAACATGTAGTTGTAGTCAGCAGTTATTTTTGTAACCAAACTTGTATTTGTGACAACTCTCTCCATCCTCCTTACAAACGTGAATGGTTAAGGATGAGCCTCAGGTTTGCAAAGATCTGCTGGAGCTCCAGCACAGGGCTGTGATGGAGCCATTGGCAGTGCCATGGACATCCAGGATGTGCCCAGCACCAGGAGGTGATCCAGGCATGGAGCTGGGATATGGTTCCTTGGAAAGAGAAGCTCCCTTTTCTCTCTCCCAAGCACCTGAAACCATCCCTGGGCTGCCAGTCAAAGAAGGTGTATTGCTTTTTTGGATGGAGACCAGTCTGTCTTGCCCCCTGTTTTGTGCCAGGGCGGTGGGTGGCTGTGGACCTGAAATCCTTCTCCCACCTCTGCTTTTCCACAAGGGGGTTTTAGTAGCTGTTGGGCAGGGCCTTGGCTGTGGAAGTCCAGGGAGCTGCTGTGTGTGCAGAGGATTAACGTGTCCTTTTGAAAAGGATTGAAATGGTTGTGGCTACATCCAGGCTTTGATGCGTAAGGGTGGCTGGAGATCGGAACGTGACTGTAAATGCAAGACTGTATTTTTCCTGTCTCTTGTTATTGCCTTTTTCAATCAGCTCAACTAAACAAAACCACACTGGGAAGACAACACCCGAGGGGTGGGTTAAGAGGCAATGAGATGTTTCAACCCAAGTTTGAAGACAGAAGGGCAAAATATTCATGGTTAGAAATATCATTTTGTCATATCGCAGGTGGTATCAGTGTGTGCAAAGCAAAATAACTTGGGACTTTTGTAATTGATATTCTATTGTATTATGGATTTTTGTTTTTAGGTTAAATTAAGAATTCTTGCTAACATGTTGAAACACGTTTTCTAAAGCAAATGTTTGCAAATTATACCTGCAGAAATTTAGGCTTCATAGCTAACAGCTATGACTGATTGATGTTGTCATATTAGAGTGTGTTGTGAGGAACTCAAATCAGGTGCCTCACTCAGAAAGTTTAAACTTTAAACCCAGAATTTGCTTTATGCCTTTTAATACTGACTTTAAATATGGCAACTTGGTTTGTACATGAATATTTGCAGTATTTTATTTCCATAGGTTAAAAAAATAACATTTCCACTCAGGATAATGATCCCCGTTTTCCTGGGAGGGAGTGGTATGGTTGTCATGACAATGTCATGTGATGGTAGAATTTCTTCATTGACGAATCTATAGTAGTTGTGTATACTTTATTTACCCATCTTTATGTTCCTACCAAAAAACTAAAGGGTTTCTTTATCCTCCATCTCCCTACTGAGATCTTGGGACCCCCCAGATGCAGAATTGGAGCTTGCAAAGTGAAATCCTCAGTACCCTTTATACCACTCCAGGGAGTGCAGCTGGTCACTTCATGGCATCCTTGATTCAAAAAAAAACCAACAACATGGAAAATGGCATCATTTGTGGTACAAACAGCACTCCAGGCACACGTGGTTTCAAACAGCCAGCTTCTCATGGTTGGGTGAGCCGTTGGGTGCTCACCCATCATCTAAACCAACCTGTGCTTCGCATCATGTGTGTGTTGATGTAGAAAATGCCCGTGTGACAGAGCAGCACAACCTACAGTGTTTAGTTTTCGTGGCCTTCTTGAACCAAAAGCGACTTTTTTTTCCTCTCTTTTGTTGTGTTTTTGTTTTTGGGGTGGGGGAGGTGGGTGGGTCAGTCTTTTTCTTTTGCAGAAAATGTCCCACTGGGTTCATGTTCCTTTAGTCTTTCTGGAGGCTGGTGGCCTTTTGTGGCCACGGGATGCCAGGTCCTCTGTGCTCTCACGTCTCCGTAGCTGCGATGGGTCATCACGGGAGGAGGCCACGACCTTGCCAGTGTTTTGCTTCTGCCCATGGGTGTATCCAGCCCCGTGCTGGGCTGCTTGGAAGTGGTGGGGATCCATCTTCAGAGCCATCCAAAATAGTCCTGTCTAGTTCCACTTTGCCTGTGACTGTGCATTATCATCCTTACATCTTGATACCAGAGAGATGTTTAGAGTTGCCTTGTGTTCTTGCTGGCATTGACTATGTCTTTTTCCAGGTAAATCATCTTGCTGCCAGTCCAAATTCTTCTACTTTTCTCTGTTTTATAACAATCTTTGGCGTAACAAACTATTGACTGTTCTTAGGCAGTGGGGATAAATATGTTTGGTTTTTTTCCCATGACTTTTTGTGACTGACTTGGGCTGTAAAACTTCTTTTGTTCAACAGCAAAAGGTTTTTTGGTTTGTTTTGGGTTGGTTTTTTTAGGTTTTATTTTTGTTCTAAGATGTGTAATTCTTTTATGGAGGTTTTTTTAATTTCATATTTTTTTTTTTTCTAACAACGCTTCATTCAACAATTAAATATTTAAAAATGTAATATTTGGACCAGATGTTGTGAATAATAGTAGATAAAGCTATTTTATTCTGTATTTTTAAAGCTGTTCAGTATAAATAAACGCGGGCATAGATGCAC